CAACTGCTACCGATGACTTAGATTTTACATTGAACATCAAGTGGTGAACCATTGCAGTACCGATACTGTTTATTGTACAATGAAAAATGGCATACACAATTATTAATGTGACATAAGTTGAATGTTTTTATGTGAATTGTTTTATGGTTTATGAGGGCACAGTCTGTGTTGGCCTAATTTTGCTATCTTAGAGCTACCAAGTGACAGAAGAATTTGGATTGGATTGGAATATTTATTTGCATTTAGCATCGTTTCAATTGGGAAGCACTGTTCCATGGCTGTCTTTATGCTAAAAGTTGGTTGGTGTATCTGTTCACTGTTGTCATCTTCAGATTTGCTTTGTTTACAATGAGACGGCAAGTCAAGATTAACGATGATAATGTTGCGTAAATGCACCTGTACATCAGCTATTTGTGAAACCTCAGCTAAATATTATAGACCTGCCACTGTCTCTCTCTTGTGTAAGTGCTCTGTATGTCTTTCTGCTGGTCGTCAGCCAAGTAAATGGCCTTGTTTATCCAGTTACTCTATTCAATTAAGTTTGGAAGCCACAGAAGGAATTCCCAAAAGACTGATCTCATCCATTTTTGTCTCAGAGAGAAAATGATGGAAAATGATCATACAGTACATACTGACACAGAAACACGAGCAAATATTCTGCCGTGAATATCTGATGGTGTATATGGAGCGCAAAGCTGGTGATTTTGATGGGCAATATGGATTATGATGCATGATGGAAGAGATGTATTGGTATCAGCCATAATTTTAAGTCAATAATAATTTTTCATGTTATGGCCAATAACCAATAAATGGCCAGTATTAAAATTCAATACTATTTTGTCTAAATAAATTACAAATAAAACACAAAAAATTAAAAGCAGTCATATTAATTCGTTTTGAGATTTGTTAAAAGATTAAATTAAACAGTGTTATTAAATTATTAGTGTTTTTAAGGATTAAACGAACTTTAAATGTAAAAATAGGAGAAATGAGCATGAACACGTAAATATACAATACTGGAGCAATATATAATAGTGCTCAAGTTTGTGATCAAAAAGTTGTTATTAATGTTAAAACGGTTGTGCTGCCTAATATTTTTGGAAACTTAGATTCTCTTTTAAATTAAAAAAATGACAGCATTTATTTTAAATTAAAAAAATGACAGCATTTATTTTAAATTAAAAAAATCAATCAATCAATCAATGAAAATTGTACTGGACCTGAACGTTTGAATGGTAATGTGCATCAACAGATACTAATACATTTTAAAATTATATATAATAATATTATAGTAGTAATTTTGTAAATTAATAACGGCAGACAACCTATATGGTCCCCGTATGTTATGCATGCCTAGATATGAGACTTAATTTTATATTTTCATTGTATTGACATTGTCTTAGAATTTGTTTGGGCACTAAGAAATTGATTAGACAAATACAGTCATTCATGAGGAAGGTGGTGAATTTATTCATTCACTTGTTGGTCAACTTGTGCTCTTTCTTTCCACTCTTCTTTTCTCAGAATGGTCATGTTCACATTGTGCTGACTAAATGTCATGGGAAAAATCAATATGCGGGGGCTGGTGTGGCAGTGCGGGTCTTGGCGATCAGGCCAACAGTAAACACAGACTGCCGTAACAGATGGAGGCGACAGCACTCTGTGAATACTGCCACTCTGTACAGATTACTGCGGTAACAACAGTACACTGCTTCAGAGCACACACTGAGCCGGACATTCTCAAGTGGCCATCAGAGACATTTCAATCTGATATTTTCTCAGAAATGGTTTGCGACAGACACGCAGTAAGAGAACTAAGCACGCACACAGAGAGCATGCAACATTGGCCTGATGTTAGCTGTCTTCATTTACATTAAAATTGTGATAAAACAGAAGTAGCGACAGATCATGTCTTACATATTTTGATGTACATTCAAGTGAAATGGATTAATGAAAAAGAAAAAAATGTAGGAGGATCTGGTTCTGTTCACTGGTTGTTGATTGGATGAGGGCAGATCTGAATGCACACTTGCAGACGATTGTGAAAAGGGGTGGGGTTTATGCGGACTAAATGATTGGAGAAGTCTGACATACACGTCACCAGAGAGAAGTCTGACATCTTCACCAGAAGACTGAGTTATGATTTTTTTTGTTGTATAATTACAAGGTAAAAAAAAATAGGGAAAAATAAAAATAGATAAATAAACATGCATGGATAAATCATTCACAGTAAGGACAATAGCATGCATTTAGAAAAAAAGCGAGGGTGAATTTTTTTTTTGGGGTGTATTGTAGTGGAAGATGGCAACAAACTGAAAAACTGTCACTACTGCAGACACACTCTAACACACACACACACACACACACACTAAAGGATTTCTCATTTCAGAAGCAATTAAAATGTGTGAAGAACACCTCACTTGCTCCTTTTCCGTTCTCACACTTTCTCACTCCCAGTTTTTGTCTTTTGTAATTTTCTCTCACTCTCTTAAGGTACGGTGACACTTTGACATTAGACACTGTATCATCTCACTCTGTGTGTGTGTTTGTGGGATGGATTAATGAATGGTTGCTGGGTAAAACAGGAGGCATGAGGCAGGAATGTGTTAATTATGAATGGAGCTTCTCTCATGGCTTACTGGAGTCTCATTGGAGAAACACTGTTTGTATGCAAGTGTGCCCTTCTGTGTGTGTGTGTGAGCGCGTTTTTGTGACAAATGAGGACATACATTTGTATAGTGACAAAGGTATGACATAGGTATTACAAGGAGAAGGTGACTTTTCAGGACATTACCCCATGTCCCCACTTTTCAAAACGCTTATAAATCACACAGAATGGAGTGTATTGAAAATCTGAAATAGCACAAAGTTTCCTGTAAGGGGTAGGTTTAGGGGTAGGGTTGGTGTAGGGCAATAGAATATACGGTCTGTACAGTATAAAAACCATTACGCCTATGGGATGTCCCCACTTTTCACAAAAACAAACGTGTGTGTGTGTGTGTGTGTGTGTGTGTGTGTGTGTGTGTGTGTCGGCATGCATGCATGTCTAACTCATTGCGCTCAGAGCAGCCATGCAGTAAATCTGTGTTAGTGAACACATTACTGTTATTGCAAAATGGCAATGGATAATAGACACAAGAGTCAAAGGCATGACAATGTTTGTCCCATGCAGTGTATGTCTTATATGCGTTTGTGTATATATGAAGAGTTCAGATGCAAAAGCCTCCAAGTGCCGTCTGGCATTTTCATCTAAAATTAGCATTTTTATCAGACTCCTATGTTTAGGTTCAGTAATTTTATTCTAATGGCAATGTATAGGTCCTTTTCTATACAATTAAAGTGAAATGACTAAACATAAACATTGGAGCCTGATAAAAATGCTAATTTTAGAAGAAAATTTCAGAAGGCACTTAGAGGCTTTTGCATCTGAACTCTTAATATATATATAATATATATATGAATAGTGTTTGGTATTTTTCCTTGGTCTGATTCTTTAAAAGTTAATTAGCTTTAATGATATTACTTAATTGACTCATTTGCTCTCTGAGAGCGATGTGTATGAATACTAATTAGACAAAGTTAATTTATTTCTGAATTCATTTGTGTGTATACAGTATGTGCTTTTAGCTTGTGTGCAAGTCATTCAGTGTTAACATAAGTAACTACGTTACTAACAAAGCAAATTTTTAGGAGTGAAAATGTCAAATGAGATCTTTTAAATCTTAGTTGTTTCTCATAGAGAGCAATGAGATTAAATGGAGCAGAACATTTATCTAACGTCTCCTCTTGAGTCTCAAAAGATCTCAACAATGTCTCAAACTATGCTCCTGTTTGTCAAGGCACGAACATCTGCAATAAAAGTCAAAACTCAAATGTTTCTCATCAAATTCTTCCAATCTGAACTATGGTATTCACATTCATTTTATAATCCTCTATTCTCAGTTGTGAACAATTCAATTCAAGCCTTATTTAGGTCTTTTTCTCTCCTCAGAAATTGTAGGAGAAACATCTATACTATATAATTTTCCATACATGGTCAAAATGTGGTCTTCAGGCCAATGTTTAAAAATCTTACCTTTTGAGGGTCAGGGTTGATTATTTAGGGTGTGTGCCTCTTTGACATGGGCCTAGATTAACCCTGTGAAGCCTAGATTACTGAAGATCTCTAATCTGTCTGAATCTATTCCCTGGTTTGGAGATCTGAGATCTACTGGAAATCTGAGGTCAGCACAGACCAGGATTTACTGTATTGCTTGAATGTAGGTTTTTATCAACCTGAGAATAAGCTGAAAGTTCTAATGCAGAGAAGCTATAGGTAAATCATTCCTAGATTATTGAATTGTGATAGAGAAGCATACGGCTTTAAGGTTTATTGATACAATGACTCTTTTAAACACATGACATTGAGGTAGTTTGCCAGTCAAATTTTCACATTTGCACATATGAAAGACACAGTGTTTTTAAATTGTAAATAATCATTTGTTTCTTATATTGAAGGTCATGGTACAGTTAAATTAAAGGGCTAGTGCAGTTCCAGGCAACACTGGAACTGCAAACTTAACAATTCAGTTTGACATATAAACACTTAAGGGAAATAATAGCTGTCCGGGCCACCTTCTTTGGAAGAAAGCACACTCCCTCTTATAAATACTGGGGTCAGGATTTTCCAAACGTTTTTTTCCAACCTTCAACTAAAAATAGCCTAATTTATACTGTGGCTACAGGTTTCACACACACTTTGGGGTGTCTTTTAAATGAAACCACTTTATTTGGACTGCAGCGTGTGTAAACTACTGATCTATGTTAATAATACATATTTGAATGACTGAAAGTTGTACACAGTTGGACTTTAAAATGCTAGTGATTAAAGTGAAGCTCATAACATTCTGGACTGCAGCCATTGTTTTTACCATGCTGGTTTTGGTCATTGAACTATAAAGTGTCCTATGTGTAATTTCCGTGATGTTCTGACAGTTTTTTGTCTCTTGTGACTCCTGTAGGTGCCACCAGAGACATCGGATCAGCGCTGACCCGCATGTGTATGAGGCATCGCAGCATTGAGGCTAAACTACGCCATTTTACTAAGTACGAGAACATTTCTCCTGTCATCCGCTTACTGTGTGTCATAGTTTAAAAGTATATATACAACACAAATACATGTAGAGCACAAACAAGGGCAAAACATTATAGTTATGAATTTCATACAGAAATCATATATGAAACTTCAACAGTGGTGTGTTTGTTATGTACTGTAAAATTATTACAAGTCTCTCACTTATTGATTGATTGATCTGATTGATTGAATCTGATTGATTGATTGATTTTGGCATTCTTTGGTCAAAAGTTTGTTTTTTCTCTAACAATAATCAGCTTAGTATTCTAATCAATCAGTGTTTCATGTTTTGTTTTGTTTTGTTTTGACCAGACTGAATTTTTTAACTCGGAGCTTTTTAAACCTTATCAGAATTAGTTATCTTCATACACTCGTTGATTGAAAATTCATATGTGTGGGTGCACATATATTTTTTTGGTTCTGAATTGCAGGACACTGAGCTATGTATCACTTGCACAAATGTGAACATCACAACACACTTTAATCGCAGACTCACTCTCAAAGTCTGATGACACTGGCAAGACAAGAGAACACAAATACACACAATTTTCACACCTCATTAAAGTACATCTGTTGACAATTCCCTCTGACAGTCTAATGAATGGATGCCTCAGACTCTAAGCCACACTGTAAACCAAAGCCTTCATTTCTCATGGTCTGAACCCCCACAGGGTTGATGATATTTCCTTGCAAATGTTCATATTGCTCTGTAATTGAATGAGAACCTCTGACTCAGCTGTGAACGTTTGAGAACATAATCCTCTCTTCATTGCTCTCAGTGCTTTGATGGAGAGCCTGATCACTCCACTACAGGACCGTATTGAAGACTGGAAGAAGACAGCCAATCAACTAGACAAGGACCATGCCAAAGGTGACTAAGCACCTTTTTTGTCCATATGCACACTAATGTCAGTCCTTACAGAGTAGACATCATACAAATGTTCGGTTACATTTTATTTTACAGTACGTGTACTTACAATATACTTACATTGTACTTACCCAAGAAAGCACTGGGTAGTATACAATAACCACATGGGTTAATGTTAAGTTTAAAGACAGGTTCAGGGTTAGTATCTAGTTATTACCCAGTTATTGTAATTGCTATAAGTAGTGTAAAATAAAGTGCAACTCAATTTTCATACATTTCGTTTTTTACAGAGTACAAACGGTCTCGTCATGAAATAAAGAAGAAATCTTCAGACACCATGAAATTACAGAAGAAAGCCAGGAAAGGTAACACGTTTTTTTTTTTTTTTTTTTACAATACTACAAAGAAATGTCAAGCATGGCAACAGTATCACAACCAACACATACTAGAATACAAGCGTTTTTATATCAGTGAAAGTAATGGATCAATATTATATAACACTGCCCTATTACAAAGCAGAAATGTGTTGGGAATAAGTCAAGGACATTTCCCCAAGGTCAAAACTGGCTGTTTTATTTGATGTTCAGAACAACCTGCTGTTCATTTGCCATCAATGTTGAATGTGTTTTTAGTGCCTCTTATGGTTGGTGATGGGCAGTTGAATCTCGGAAGTGTTGTTAAAGCCACATAGAGACTGTGTAGAGTGCACAGTGTGTTCGATGAAATTACTGACCCTTCATATGAGGGAAACAATCCTCTGCAATGTAAGCAACCCCCTCTCCTGGCTGAAGCGCAGAAGTGCAACTCTCACCTCATTTGCTAAGCAGTTCGTGTTCATATCCCAGCAGCCAATAATTTCTGCTTTTGAAGATAGGATGACAATCCTGTGTGTTACTAGGAAGACTCCAGTGTTAAAGGAAAAGCTCCCTATTTATGTTGTTTAGTCAGGCATCTCATTCCTTCTAAGACCGTTCCGTTTGATACGTATTTTATTTTATTTTGGGCCCACTGCACATTAAATCGTACATTTTTGGTTGATTTTTGAATTTGGTTTTGGTTCAATTTGCTGTGGTGGTTTGGCTTTTCTGAAACAATTTGGCCATGAAATGAGCTGAATTGCTTCCTAATACTAACCCTAACACAGTGCTCTCCCTCCTCTCTTTCTCTGTATCTCTTTCTCTCTGTTCCTTACCCTCTCTTGGATTCCCCCCATGTTGTGTTCTCTCTCTTTTTCATCTACTCTCTCTCTATAGAGCTACAGGGTAAGTATGTTTTTCCACGCCAAGCTGTGGCTCACTTAGATTCTTCTCACTCGTCACTCTGCATGGCCCTTTAACCTGGCCTCAACTCGAAAAAGACCCAAGCACGTCTGCAGACAGTTCTGTGGCCATCGGATTTAACCCCCACCTAACATTTTGGCTTGACAGCTGATTTAAGATCACAGCCTTTCTCATTTCTTCCATTATAACACCTGAGGGTTTGCTTTGTGCATGATTTTGCTGATGCCGTCCCAGCATGCATGCTGCTTGTGTTCCTGGAAGCGGTTCTACTGCAGATAGCTGGCTTTGCTTCCTCAGCAAAGGTCACGACCATCTCTAACAACCTAGTCTGCATGAGTTAACCTTTTAACTTCCTCTGGGAGGTTCCATGTGTTTCATTAAGAGTAGAAGATGTTCGATCTCAGAGTTCAGAAGCGTCTGTCTCCATTTGTTGTGTAGGTGCTTGTCGGAGTAGTTCATTTTGTTCTGTGTTCACATTGCGTTCGTATTGTTGGAGGCTGGAAGAGAGAATGATTCTCATCTAATGCTGTGTATTCTCTTGTGTTCTGCCACTTTTTGTTGTTTTCACTTTTCTCTTTTGATTGTCCTTTACATTCTTCTCATTCTTCCATTCGACCTGCTGTTTTGTCTGATTCTTTGGCCATTTTTTTCATTCTGTCTGTTCTTCACTGTTTCATCCTTCTCCCTCCCCCCCTTCTTTTCTGTTATGCTCTCTGTCACCCCCTTTAGGCCGGGGGGACTTTCAGCCACAGCTGGACAGTGCAATGCAGGATGTGAATGACATGTACCTGCTGATGGAGGAGACGGAGAAACAGGCGGTGCGGCGTGCTTTAGTGGAGGAGAGAGGACGCTTTTGTACCTTCATCAGCTTCCTGCAGCCTGTAGTGGTACTGCCCACCTCATTTAAATATCAATTTTTTTTGTTTTTAAGATTGAATGCAGCACTGTTAAGTGTTCCCAAGCACATAGCTGTTCAAAAGCTTGGGGTTGGTAAGATCTTTTTTGAAAAAAGTCTCTCGAAGAACATTACAAAGTACAAGTACATGTGTTACATGTACTTACTATAGTAATAACAGTAAATGGTGCATAATTACAGGCAACTAACCCTAGACCAAACCCTAATTCTAATCTATAGTTAGTACGTTGTTAATCAATATTACTCAGTACTCAAATGTACAGTTACACATAAAAAAACCCCCACTGTAAAATCAAGTGTAACTCTCTTATGCTCATCTAGGCTGAATTATTTGATCAAAAATACAGTAAAAAACAGCAATATTGTGAAATATTATTCAAATTTAAAATAACTGTGTTTTTAATATATTTTATTTAATAATAATAATTTATTCAAACAGCCATTACTCCAGTCTCCGGTCACACATTCCTTATGATATCCTGATTTGATACTCAAGAAACATTTCTTATTATGGTCACACTTTATTTTAAGTTTAAATTCTCGCTATTAACAAACCATTAACTACAACTTTTGTCTCAATAAACTCATAATTTGCTGCTTATAAATAGTTAGTAAGATAGTTGTTAAGTTTAGGTATTGGGTATGATTAGGGATGTAGCATATGGTCATGCAGAATATGTGCTTTATAAGCACTAACAAACAACCAATATGTTAATAATAGACATGCTAATAAGCAACTAGTGAATAGTGAGAATTGCTCCCTATACTAAAGTAATAATAATAATAATAATAATAATAATAATAGTTTGTTCTGTAAAATAATTATAACATTTTACTACTTGCTAATTATTAATTTTAGTATTAGATTTATCTACAAAATTTATTTGAACATGAAATCATAAAAAAAAAAAAGATTTTTATGTTTTGAAATGTAAAGAGGAAGTGCCTCATCAAAAAATTGTATATTGTATATGATTGTTATAATGAAGAGCCTGTCTTAAGAGTTAATTGAAGCACAATAAAATAAACAAACAAATAAATAGGTACATAAATATATAAAGCTCTTAGAATGTGTTACTGTCTGTCGTTTAAATGGCATTATGTGATGTTCAATTACGTTTTGATCTATGAACTTGTGGTTCTGTCCTTGTGTGATGTTAGAATGGAGAGATTGCCATGTTGGGAGAGATCACTCATCTCCAGGCCATTATTGATGATCTCACCGTGTTAACCTCAGACCCCCACAAACTGCCCCCAGCCAGTGAGCAGGTGCACATGCTTATATACACCAGTTACCATGTATCATGTACTGCACAGTGCTTTACAGTAAGACCATTAACACCAAGACGGTCTCTCTCCCTTTCTTTCAGGTAATAAAAGACCTTAAGGGTTCTGATTACTCTTGGTCCTACCAGACTCCCCCCTCTTCTCCCAGCAGCTCCGGCTCCAGGAAAAGCAGCATGTGCAGGTGAGAGCGAGAGTGATAAAGAAATAGAGACATTATGCTGCCAGTAATGTTAGCACACTTATTAAATCTTTATTTCTGGCTATTAGCCTTTTTCTGCTGGACAGATTTGTTGCTTGTGCTGTGTGTACTATGTTGCTTGGCTTTTCATTGTTGCAATTGCTTTGGAGAATCAAGCTTATGCTGTGTCTTGAGAATGGTAGCTGGTATTTCATTGGTTTAAGCTGGTCTAAGCTTGTAGACCATCCTGGATCAGAAAACAAACCAGATGCCAGCTGTTCATACCATGTTAAAGGGATAATTCACCAAAAGATGAAAAACTCTGTCATCATTTACTCACCCTCATGTGTTTTTTTACTTAAACCACTAACCAAAAAAGCATAAACAAAATATATAGTAGTAATAGATATTAAAACAACCAGCAGATGGCAACAAAATAACAACAATCTTTATTTTATTTCCCTTCTAATTTGTGTTTCATTGTGTTTCAAGATTTTTAAATGTTTTTGAATATTTGTAATGTTTTTGAAGTTTTGTATGGTCACACAGGCTGCATTTGATTAAAATACAGTACAAAACTGTAATATTATGAAATGTTCTAACAATTTAAACTGTAATTTATCAATCAATCAATATCAATTACTTTTAGTGATCCCAAACTATTCTCTGAACCTTCTCTCTGATGGTCATTTACTTGGCAACACCACATTTTACAAGTTGAAGGACTTGGAATTCCTTTGTTTAAAATGTGATTTTTCTGTTAAGGAAGTGTCCATTGACTGCAAGCAGTACCATAACATATCCAAATAATTCAAACAGAGACCCTCTACATGTTTTCCTGCTGACATATCATCTTTCATGGTTTCTCTTTCAGAAGTCGTCAAGTTCAGCGTCCTCGGAAGCATCTGAGACCTGCCAGTCAGTTAGTGAGTGTAGCTCTCCAACCACAGTAAGTATCAAGTACTCTGTCCATAAGACATACGTGTGCTGAAACTGTCAGTGATATTTTGGATTGTCTGTGGGACCCTTGAGGTTTGTGCTGCTGATTGGCAGGTTGGGGTCTGCTCTTGCCGGTTTCGTCTTTGTGCTGTCATCAGATCTGATCTTTCCTGCCACTCTCAGCATGTATCTGCAAGGCCACACACACAAAGGCTCCCATGCCCATGAGTAAAGGGAAGGGGGTCTCTGGCTACTCTGACGGTCTCGATCTTATCTCTCCATTCCGCAGTTTGGCTTGTCCTTCGCTACCTTCCGCCCTGCTCTCTCTCACACTGGCTCCATCAGGCCTTTCTCTGTCATACTTCCTGCGTCCCCACCCTTTAACCGCTCCCCTGGATCCAACACACCCTCTCCCACATCCAAGGTTCCTTGCTGGAAGGTTTGTCTCCATTGGCAATTCTCATTGCAGTTTTGTTAATTTCCTCTTCTTTTTGTGTGAGCTCTTGTGTGTTGGATATGTGGCTCCTGAATAACACTTACCGACAGTGTTTTTGTTTTGATTTAATTCTGCTTAACTTCATTCATTACCTCATTTTGCTTTTTAACACGCACCTTTTCTGTTGGCTGTTTGATCCTGGTTTCAAATCTCTGGCTGTGAGATTTGCTAAACCGAGCAGACCACGGAAGGTACCTACCAAACAGTAAAGCAAACACTGAGATTGGGCTTTTTCTAAAACACATAAGACTGTATCTGTTGAAAGGACACTCAAACTGCTGGATCGTGGGCCAGTCTTCTCTCTCGCACCTGAGACCGTTGCATTTGTTGCTATACACTGACCTGAATTAACTGCGTCTGCTTCCTTAGGACTGGTCCAAGGTAGGTTCCAGTGAGCAGCCGCTGACCAGCACACTTCAGAGGAGGAAGGAGCCTCTGGATAGGCTGTGGGAGGCAGAAACCTCTCCTCAGTCACAGGGGTATACTGGGATGCATTCAGAAGACCCCCAGAGGCCAAGGATGAACCCGGCCACTACAGCTGCCAAGGTAACTTTCACCATATATGAAACATTCATCATTTGGTGTGGATGAAGACAAAATGTACCCATTTGCTTAAGGCTGGTGTCTTCAAATATGGGCTGCTTGTGGCCTTGAGTACTTAATAATGCAATGGTTCTCCACCTGGGGCATCTGCACTCTTCCTAGTGGACAACAAGATGGCTTAAAAATATTTAAAATAACAAAAATAAACTTAAAAATAAGCTAAAACATCTAAAACGTCACTTGTTTTCCTTACCAACTTGCATTTTTAAGTAAGAACCAGAGTTCTCGTGGTCTTGTAAAACCAGATTTCTATATTTGGACAAGCTTTGGTAACTAATAAATTCTTAAAAAAGTTATTTCAAAAATAATTTTTTATAATGTAAGTTGTGTCAAACTCTAAAATATATATTTTTTAGGTAGAGATTGCTATTTTTACATAAAATCTCTGCAATCACAAACAATTAGAAAAGTCATATAAATGTAATGGAAATACAAAGTGTAAGCCCTGAATAACACTTCTGGAATTATTTAATTGTTTAATTATTTGAATACATTGCCACTACTATTTGCTTTAAAATAAAAACGTTTGAAAATGAGCAGCTATGTCAATACAGCTGAAGTACTATAAATACTGTATCTTGGTGGGCCTTGAAACATTATCTTTGACAATGGAGGGCCTTGAAGTCAAAACAGTCGAGAACACTATAATGATGCATTTTTTAAAAAGTCTCTTAAAATGCACACTCTCACTAGCTTGTTTAGTCGAAAGTGTCTAACAATGGATATACATTAATCACAGAACATGTCATTTTTCTTTTCTCTTTTCCATCCCAGTGTAATTTCCACTGCATCTTAACTGATGTATTGATGTGCATTTTAAGCACTTTTGGATAAAAATGCCTGACTCACAGTTAACAGTTTATATATCATAAATAAATACATTTTAATAATATTTTTACATAATTGATTGGAAATTATATTTATTTTTATAATGTATTTCTTTGAGTTTTTATTCATAACATTTTCATAGTTTAAGATTCAAAGTCTAGGTCTACATATGCACACACATTGAGTCTGTGCTTGATGTAACTGTATGTATGTATTGTGTCATGGTGCAGCATGGTGAGGAGGTTTCCCCAGCTGCTAGTGATCTAGCTATGGTCCTGACACGGGGCCTCAGCATGGAGCAGCAGAAGAGCAGCCGAGACTCTCTTCAGTACTCTAGTGGATACAGCACTCAGACAACCACCCCATCCTGCTCTGAAGATACCATCCCCTCACAGGGTAATACAGTCAAAAATACTCACGTGTTCTTAGCAAAAGCCTGTTAACACCAAGAATGATAAGTATAACTATAGCGCTAACTATATTAGCGTCAACACCAATTTTGTATATTACAAGCATGCATTGCAGTTGTGTCGTCTGCCACCCTAAATGCTCAAGCTCTTTAAATCAGGTGGATTCTAATTGGCTGTTAATGTACTTATTTTTCATCAGCTAGAAAAAAAAAAATCTGAAAGTGATTTTATCAATATCGTTCCACTGTGTCATTATAAGTATAGCTGTGGTGTGGACTTCCCTATTCTCTTATTATCAGAAAGATTTGTAAAACTTTTTTGTTATCATTATCGTCATCAGCCTTGGGCCGAATGGGCCTTAGGGACAGTTCACCCAAAAATGAAAATTCTGTCATTAATTACTTACCATCATGTCATTCCAAACCTGTAAGACTGGAACACAAATTAAGATATTTTTGATGAAATCTGAGAGCTTTCTGACCCTCCATAGACAGCAAGGGAACTACCATGTTCAAGGCCCAGAAAGGTAGCAAGGACATCGCTAAAACAGTCCATGTGATATCAGTGGTTCAACCGTAATTTTATGAAGCTACGAGAATACTTTTTATTGATGTCCTTACTACGTTTTTGAAACTAGTGGTAGTTATCTTGCTGTCTATGGAGGGTCAAAAAGCTCTCGGATTTCATCACAAATATCTTAATTTGTGTTCCAAAGATGAACGAAGTTAGGGGTTTGTAACAGCATGAGTAATTATTGACAGAATTTAAATTTTGGGGTGAACTACCCCAGATGTTTACTTTTTATTATTTTAATTTAAAACTAGTTATAAGACTTGATAAGTTACAAGTGGGATTTTTTTTGTCAGGCTCCGATTACGATGGTTACTCAGTGAACGGAGATACTGAGGCCGACGGTCAGGCTGAATTTGATAAATCCTCCACAATTCCCCGTCACAGTAATATCGCCCAGAACTACCGCCGCATGATACAGACAAAGCGTCCCGCCAGCACAGCAGGCCTGCCCAGCGGAATGGGTGCTCTGGGCGGACCACTCGGCGGAGGGGGCGGTATTCCCGGTACGGCCACTATTCGCCGAACGCCGTCTACGAAGCCCGGGGTGAGGCGCACCCTCTCCAACGCTGGCCCTATTCCTATACGCCCACCCATCGTGCCAGTCAAGACCCCCACTGTGCCTGACTCACCCGGCGGGTACACTGGCCCTCCCGCCCATGTGGGCAGTGAAGAATGTGTCTTTTATGTGCCGGATGACGCCTCCCCGGGAGCGCTGGAGTATGTGAAGGCCTCTCCGAAGCGGCTGAGCCTGCCTAACACAGCCTGGGGCTCAGGGGGCGTAGGCGGCTTAGAGATGAGCGTCTACGGCCAACCGGGCGAAGAAGATCACCTGCTGGCTGCCAATCGCCACAGTCTGGTGGAGAAGATTGGGGAGCTGGTGGCCAGCGCTCACGCATTAGGTGAGGGCCAGTTCCCTTTCCCCTTGCTTCCAAATCAGCCCCCGCCGGGCCCTGAGTCCCAACTCGATCCCGAAGTGCCCCAGGAGGGCGAGGACATGCTGAGGTCTATTCGTCGAGGGGTGCGACTGCGCAAATCCGTCTCCAATGATCGCTCAGCGCCCCGGATTTTGTGATGCCTCTTGGAGAGATGGGAGAATATAAGCGAAGTAACCCAGAAAAAAAACTTCACAATGACTCTTTAGAAAATGAGATATGAAAAAGAGGATAAAAAAAATTTAATGTTTAAAGTCATTATAGAAAATAATGAATAACAGTAATGAAAAAAAGTAAATGATATGTAACTGCAGGCTCAGGCCACTATAACTCTTAGCGTGTCTGAACGCATGTTTGTCTTATTAACACACCCATCACCACGGGATAGTTGAACATTAGTGAGACAATTAACTACTGACAGAAAAAGGGACCAGGATGTCCGCATGGTCCCTGTAGAATAACGGCCCTCCCCAAATTATGGACCCCAGGAATCAGTGCTGGAGAAGCTCACGGGGTACGCAGGGGCTCGTCACAAATCCTTGAACTCCACAACGCTCTCTCTAACCCCGCCCTCACCTCCAGTAAAATTGACATCCCATCCTGAAAGTCTTGTGGTATCGCTGTTGTGTGTTGGTCTGCAGTCTGGAGGTGAGCAGGGCTCTGCTGCAGGTCAGCTCGTGGGTGCGTAGAGGGACAGGATTTATCTTTTGTTTGTACACTTCCGTTGTCTTGTTCGTTTTATTTACAAGCAGTTAATCACCTCCTAGCTCCTAAGAGTAGGAAACGTTCATGTCAGGTATTTGAATTTTTGTAGATTTAGGGTGAAAAACCACCATGATAATGTGGAGCAATAATGCTTTTTTCCCTTTTTTTTTCTTTGATGGGGGAAGCTTTCGAAGATCAGCTTTTAATAAAGTTGTGCGTTTTTGATGTTCAGGTATCTTTGGGAAAGCAGATGCTTTCGAAGACTTCTTGTTGAGTCTAATTATGGCTTATTTAAAAAGAAAATGAGAAATAGAAAGGATGCAGAGCACTTTTAAGGCATAGTTTTGACCACTAGCTGTCACTGTGGCCACACTGTGTGTGGTGAATGCTGTGAGACGCCGCGGTCACGTGCCCTGGTACATAGGAAGATGAATGCGTGTAGCAATGTTATGATATAGGAAAAAAAAGAGAGATGGGATGTGAAGCAGAGATGGACGTAAGAAGAATGATTTGGCAACACTTTGCAGTAGGATCAATTTGTTAACAGTATTAATTAATGTATTAGGTATCACAAACTAACAAACAGAATTTATTCGTCTAGATTAATATTCATTTCTACTTATTCTTGTGCATTTTTTATATAAATTAGCATCGGCTAATGTATTATGAACAAACAATAGTACACTGCCATTCAAAGGGTTAGTGTCAATAAAATATTAATACATTTATTCTGCAAGTATGCTTTGATCAAAAGTAACAGTAAATACATTTACAATGTAACAAAATATTTCTGTTTCAAAGAAATACTTTTCGTTTAAAAGTACTTTCGATTCTATATCTATATAAATAATCCTGCAAAAAAAAATAATACAATGGGTCTTTTTAATAAAAAAGATTTTAATAAAATTAAAATTATTTTAATAAAAATCTTACCGCCCCCAACCATTGAAAAGTATATATTTATAAATTATCATTAACTAGATAAATAAATGTTTTTTTTTTTTAAGTGTTGTTCATTGTCCATGTACACCTCGTGATACCTATTGCATTAACTGTTAACCAGTTGAATCTTATTGTAGAGTGTGACCAATGATCTTGAAAAGGAATCGGTTGACACTTATATTTAATTTCCAATTTGAGCTACTAAAATAAGTTTTTAAAATTTTTACAGGAAATGTTCGTTTACTTGTCAAGCCTCAAACCACAATCCCTTGATAAATATTTAGGAGGGGTTGAGAGAACGAGCTAAGATGAAGGCACACACCTGGTTGCCATTTTTGGGGACATAAGAATGAACTTTGGATCTGCAGATGGAAGAAGAGATGAATAAAGGAGGTGGAGAGAATGAACTCTGGGAAGAAAACTCATCCAGTTGTTTATGATAAAAGCATTCCACTGCCTGTTTTAGATGATATAGGAGTAAATACCTGTGACACAAAAGGTCGCTGGTTACCCCGGTTCACCCGACGTGAAGAAAAACAATGCTCTGTGATGATACTGGATGTGGAAGTTATACGTAGGAGGTCAAAACATAGTTTTAGTCATGTAGTGTCTGTTTGTGAGTGACTTTCTGTTCTCCCAAGACTCCCTATAACCCCTGCCGTCATAAATAGTGCTGTTACGCCAGACACTTGCTCCTTACTCTGACTTTTGGGTTGTTTTTTGAATGATTTATTTTGCATAGAGCACTCTGTTTTAGGAATGCCTGTAGCGTGTTCAAAAGGAAAAAGTATGTCTGCTTTGTGACAGTATGTGCGACTGTGCCGATCTCTCGCTGAAAATAGTGCCGTTCTGGAACGCCGAGGCCATAATGAGAACAGGCTGGAATGAAAGAACAAGGCTACGGCAATTCAAAGCCCACACTGCCAGCCGATCAGCAGGGCAGAACTTTGCATATATATACATATACATACTGTATAAGAATGCAAACAGTGCAAGTACTGTAGCTTCACTAAAAACAAATGTCCCACACAAATGTTGTTTTATAATGGGGGTCAAGGGGTGGGTGAGGAATCAGTCGACAAGTGAATTGAGCAGCAATATAGTAAAGTTTGCTGAACAAAGAGGGGGAAAAAATCATATCTAACTGTTACATATCCACACATTTCATGTGAAGCTTCATGGCCTGCTTTATGTAGTAACATGACAAGGATAAAGTTATCAGAAGTTCCATTCATAGCGTCACATACACAGACACGTAAAGGCAGGAGGATTCAACAGGAAGGAAGATGTGAAGAGTTGATGAGAAGTGAAAGAGAAAGAAGAACGGAATGAGCAAGAGTGAGAAAGACAAGGCCAGTGGAGAATAATTGGTGAAAGAAACAGGTAGGAAGCGGCACAAAAGCCTGATTGCAGGTAGTTGGCTTACTGTTGTCTCTTTATTGAAACGTCAGTCTCTGCGGGTTTCTGCTCCCGAGGTCATGAAGCAAGATAACAGTTAAAAGCCCCTCTGGAGGAAACTGAGGGACAGAAAAACTACCACTGTCACTTATGAGCTCAGCCTTCAGCGTCTCAATACTCATATACTCACACACAGCGGATAGACTCTTTTGGTTCTCAGGTGATTATATGCACATTTTCTCTTTGTTTTGCAGTGTTTAACATTACTCACGTCATGCTTTTGTCTCCCACTAAACGTCATGATATGCTCACTATAATGCAGCCATCACAATTCAGCTGTGAAAATGTGATTTCATTGGCTTGTTATCTTACACTCAGGACTCAGGACTCAAAATTTGTCAAACAAACTCTCATGCCAATTCGTAACCATTTTACACGTTGGTGAGTTCATACAGTGTGCACTCTACATTTGAACGTTTTAGTAGCCTATTATCTCTTTAGGGTTTAGGTTGAGGTTAAAGGGGTGGTTCATTGCGATTTCACTTTTTTAACGTTAGTTAGTGTGTAATGTTGCTGTTTGAGCATAAACAATAATCTGCAAAGTTACGAAGCTGAAAGTTCAATGCAAACGGTGATATCGTCTTTTAAAATTCTGGCAGTTTAATGCCTACAAAAACGGCTGGTAGGGACTACAACAAGTTACTTCCTGGGTTCGTGACATCACAAACCCAGATAAACCCCGCCCTCAGGCAAAGTCAGCAAAAGGGGCGATGCCATGCTGTGCTGCTTTAGAGAAGAGGAAGAGAAAACTAGAGGTGCACGTAAAAATCTGTTCATATATGAATCGTGATTCTGTCTTCTAACGATTCTAATGGATTCTCAAGTTTCAAAATCAATGTTCTAAAGCAGCGGTTCTCAGTACTGTTCCTGGTGTTCCCCTGATCTGCACACACTCTGCATCTCTCTCTCATTCAGCTCAGCTCCGACAATGAACTGTTCCAATTATACACTTATTTTGACATAGCTATGAGACGCATTAAACATGGACGCACATGCGGTTGCTGTTATGTATTACACCTTTAATCAGGATAAAACCGTATATTAAAAGCTAACATAAGCAGTAGCATTTACAACAGCGTATCTAAAAGTATGAGACAACAACATAGGCTTACCATTAAAAGCCGTACTTGCACAGGTTCTGCACGATCCTCTTCAATAATATCCTCTGCTTCTCAATAGGCTCAAACTGATAAGCGATATTAACATGCCTTTGTTTACAATACAACCGCACCACATGCCGCTGAGGTGAGGGGCGGGACGTATAGACACGCACTAGAGACGGTTGAGCCAACCACAACACACTGGGCTAGCTAACCAATCAGAGCCCATCGCCTATTTCTGAGGGCGGGGCTTCGTAAAAACAGGAAAAGATCAGCCCATTTCTCAGAGAAGGGACAGCGGTGTGGAATAAAGGTAAATTATGTGAAAAAGAATGTGTTTTTTTTTTAACTAAGCATTAACACATGTTAGACTGTACCCCATGAACACAATCAAGCCTAGAAAAAACCCAGTGAACCACCCCTTTAAGGGTGGACCTCCATGTTATGTTTTTCTAAAAATCACACTACAAATTCATACAAAATCACCACCTTGTAAAATAGTTACGCTTTCATATGAGATCGGGTTGGTTTGTCTCTGGAGCACCCCTAGTTATATTACAAATTATCAGGGAACAAGTGGTTTAGAAATATATGTGCTTTGATGATGTGTAAATGTGATTTTTGAGGGCAATATTTTGATTAGTAATATTCTATCTTAAACTATTTTGACCATCTCCCTCTCTCCCCTAAAAATAAATAATTAAAACCTTTAAATGCGTCCCTTATAGATAATCTCTTTCATTTGAGGGGATTTGCCTGGAGAAACATTAGTAAGTAGCACATTGTACATTTTTGGTTAATGATTTAAAAAACAAACAAGTGTCTTCAGTTCCGCCTTTACATTTGTTGGTGAGCCGAACGAATGCCAAAAAAACAAGTGAATTGGCTATCCTTTATATATACGTTAAGTAATAATTGACCAAATCCTATAGAGCAGGGATCCTCAAATCTGGCCCACGAGATCCACTTTCCTGCAGAGTTTAGCTCTAACCCTAATCAAACACACCTGAGCATGCTAATCAATGTCTTCAGGATCATTAGAACTGCTTTTCTCTCTTTACTCTTCTGCTTTTAAGTTATTGTGCTGTTTTCCTAAGGCTAATTTGCCACTGTTACTGATAACATTGTTTCCTTTTTGGTAATATTTATCCTTCTAATTTTTGTTAAGTTTAGTCACAGCTAATGTAACAAAACACACTGTGATGATTCCAGTATTAATAAAAGTTGTACTTAAACTGTGTGGGAGGTGAGGAATATTCAGTATAACCTATACAATATTTATTTATTTATCATATTTATACAGGCTGGCGCACTGTCTCAATAGAGGGTGGCTATGGTACATATAGGACTATTGTTCCGTGCTGAGTTATACAGTCGAATCCTTTCATGATAACATACAGTATACACGCTGCTCTTTGCGAGTTTTCTAGGCTTATAATCCATTTAAAATGTAAACTTTGTTTTTCGGCCACATGCAGGATTTGCTCTCGAAGTAGCAGTGATTGACAGTGATAACCATAGCAATAGACGGGACAAAATATGTGAAAATGTGCATTAAGACTAGAGCACCCTCACTAATTTCAGAAGCACCCTCAGTGATTATTACTGGAACCTGGTTGATATGCTTTTATTGCATAAATATATACAAAAACAACAAAATACAAATGCAAATAAAATAATTTAATAAATGCATATTTACAATTTAAGCACTTAACTAAAATAAGTATTAAATAATACAATAAATAACTAGAGAAGGCTGACTATAATCAGCTTGCTTCCATTTAGAGCGTGCGCATTTTATTTTTGACGCCAGGGGGCGCCAATGTGTTTTTGGCTAAATCTGTGATTGCAACTCAACATCCAGAGAGAGAAAGTTTGTTCGAATTCTTCAAGCTGTTTAGAATCTAAAGTTGAAACACAAATAAATCTCGCCTTCCACGCCGAAAATAAATAACTAGCAAAACCCTGTAATTAAAATCACATGTCAGTCTCTAAGCACCAATTTTGCGCTCCTCAGCTTTACAACGACTTTCAACAGTGGGGAGAAAGACCGAGATTAGCAATTCAACTTCCAGTGTTATTTGCTAAGAAAGCCCCTGAAGGTGTATTAGACAGTCCCAGCTGCACACTGGACTGCTCAGAGCTCAAGTGTGTATCTTCAATGATAGCCGAGTCGCTT